TTTTTGCTTTGTTTTGGTGATGTGCAGGCTCTCTTGGCAGGTCTAAAAGAGGGAACATGAGGAAAGCATATTATTGGGTGGGGGCAGAAGATATAGCTGGCTAAGGCCAAGTCAAAGTGAATTTTGGAGGCAGCTGCATATGGGATCTCAATGAGTAGATATATTATTATATTTCTCAAAGATTTTGAAGTTTACAACACTGCCCCTTCACTTTTAGCCAGCTGTGAGTGAACCATTATTGTACAAAATAGTTCTATGTGATGAGATTTAATTTGAGCCTTTATGAGTAGAGTGATGGGTGAGCATCGATGGGGTTCGGTACAAATCGAACCTCACCGAAAAGAACCGGAAATTGAATATTTAAGATTTCTTAACCGAACTGCACCGCACCGCACCACAAAAGAAGAAATAACCGAACCGAAATTACGGTTCGGTTTGGTGCGATTTTTCTGTTAAATGAAATTAAAAAAGGATAACCACAAATTAATGTTGAGAGTAAATTTTACTTTTAAGTTTTAAATGTGATGTTGTGCCCAAATTTTTACTCACAAAGTGTAAAACTAAAGTGTAAATTTTACTCACTTTATGATTTTCGGTGCGGTTCGGTTAAAACCGCATGCTTCGGACAGAAAACCGAACTGCACTGAAATATCTGTGGGTTTCCAAAACTCATACCGCACCATTAACCAAACTCTTCAAAAACCGCACAGAACATCTCGGTTCGGTTCGATTTTTCAGTTTCGCCTCAATTTTGCTCACCCCTAAGTAGAGCCGAGTTCCGATCATTAAAAAAATCAAACAATAAAAATGTTGGAGCTTGGTTTATGAATAAATTTTTTTAAACTGAACTAACATAATAGTCTTGGAGATTACGTAAAATTCTTTTAGCCTAACTCTGCTAAACTATAAACTAAACGAGTTGTTAAACGAGCTCGAGTTCGACTTGTTTATCGAATTAGTCGACCTGAACTCGATCCTTAACGAGTTGTGCAGTGCCACAAATGGTTCGATTTGTTTAACCGCTTTAATTGCACCTATTTGCAAATATATCGTAAAATAGATAAAAGCTCAAGACTATTCTTAAAACTTGCAATTTTTAAAAGTAAATAAATCTTTATTTATGTACTTTTGGAAGGTTTGATCTGGCTCATTGGTTCTGATCTGGTTAGCCTTAGCCATTTCAAAGTTTGGAGTTTCTAGATCTGCGTCTTGGGGCGTGGTCCCGTTCTCCTTGGGTGGCCGTTTTCGGTTGTTGGCTCGAGTGGTGGCAGTTTTAGAGTAGTTGGATGGTAGCTGGGAGGGCTTTACTCTATTTTTTATTATAGTGATTAGGGTCAATCCCTTGTAGAACGAGACTAGGATAAGGTTTCTGAAGGTGTTATGTTAAGATTTGATTGAGAATCCCGACAAGAAAATCTTCAGAAACCTTATCCTAGTTCTCCACACCATGGCCCAAACCTAACCCTAGAAAGCATACTCTTTTTAAAATCCACGTTCCCATCCCTTGACCTGTCGTCATTGATTATCCACCATTGGCCCTCTCATGAAGCTCCCCCTACCCACGGCCAATTTACCCATCATGGAGATCATGTTCTTCGTGTCTTGCCAGGACGACGGGACGATGGTCTACGATAGGGACTCCAACTTGTAGAAGATCACTATATGGTCGTACACGAGCATCATCTTCTTGTTAGTGTTATGTGCCGTTTGGTCAATATTGGAGGTGCAGGGGACGCGCGAGTTGTCGAGCGTGAAATTGGGGATTGAGAACGATTCAACCCTTGGGGAGATGGGGCCGAAGGACGAGCTAGACAATGAAGGTGAGGATGTAAAAAATGACGACAATCGATCACGAAGATAAAGATGCGGTTCATGTAGGTGGCACAATGGGAGGCTCTGGGTCATATTGGTAGAACTGGGGGTAGTAGGGGTTGTTCGGGTAGTTGTAGTAGGGGTTGGAAGTCGGTGGCACGACGACAACATATGGGTAGGAGCATGACCGAATGGGGATAGCCATTAGTTTGGGTATTTTGTGGGGCGGGGTAGCACATAACATGTCGGTTCGGGTCACTGTGTTTGACATCCCGACAAGTATTTCGGTGATGATCGACGTCAAAAAATCAAGAGCGTCGATAAAAAAAATCAAGAGTAGCGAAGTCGCAAGCGTGCGACGACCCTTGGTAGAAATGGAGGTAGACGGTGAAGATGGGAGAAGGGCAGTATGGGTGTTGGGGGTTAAAAATAATATCCCCACCGTTCATAAATGCATATTTTAGTGCATTGAGTTGCACAATTCATATTTTGATTTTGCACAATAGGAAAATGCTACATTGTCAACTTAGTATACAGCTAGGTTGACAACACAAGTGAAACATACACAGTAATGATAGGTAAAATGCACAATTTTACATGTGGATATGCTCGTTAAGTATACCTTTGTATTTCACGAAATAACAAAATGTTGCACCTTGAGTATTTAAAAGTTCACGAAATTACCATAATATCATCGCAATATAAAATGCATAACAATGTTATGTAGGAATATATATTAACAAATGTGAAAACGCATATAGCTTACTAGCATATTTTCGAAATGACAAAAACATCACTATTAGAAAATTAAAATTACATTCGTGTATTTGTTAAAATAGATAACATTCAATAGACACGGGTGGCATAAAAAAAAAATTCTCCCTTTGGGAACCCTAATTCTCCCTTTGAGAACTCTAATTATCTCAGTTGGGATCGATAATTCATGCGTGTTTATACAATTGGTAAGCTCAGCCTTCGTTTTTCTCAATTTATTCCTCATGGCATCGAGCAGCAACATGAGGAAGGAACAAAGCACGGAAGTGGAGCTGGAGCAGAAATTGGAGAAGTTCTCATTATCGGAGGCGGAAAACTCGATTGTGGATATTGCTCAGGATGATATCAAAGTTAGCAAGTCAGAATGTCAAAAAAGTTTGTTTGGCAAGATTATTGGCGATAGATCGGCGAGCCTTTTCGGAGTTAAAAGAACCATTGGTCAGATTTGGAAAATCCAGGGAGCTGTCGAAGTTAGAGAACTAAGCAACAATTTCTTTCAGTTCATTTTCGATAATGTTGAGGATCTCCAGAAAGTTGTCTCTGGTACTAGCTGGGTCTATGACAACCAATATCTCATTATGGGAGAATGGCAACCGAATATAAGGCGAAATCACCCCTGCTTTGACATCTTGCATCTCTAGGTGAATATATTTAATGTGCCTTTTCATTGGCAATCTCCGGGGGTTGGGCTCAAGATTGGAAACCTTTTTAAAGGAGCTAAGAATGTTACTATTACCAGGACATGAGATTCTAGTGGAGAAAGGGTTATTCGAATTCTGGCAGTCATCAATGTCAAAGAACCTCTTTTGAGATGTGCTAATGTTCGGCTAGGGGATGAAATTATTAAGGGGAACCAGAATTCTCTTCTGCCTATTGTTCCTTCAGAATTAATTGAAGTCCCTATCCAGTCTCACTTGGATTTAATGGCAGAGACCATCACTCCTGATTCATCTTCAGCTATAAAAGTATGGTCCAAGTTATCTCC